GTAAGCAAGCAGACAAACGGCAACGTAATAGGAATAAACATAAGACGCTAATTACCAAGGCGCATCACCGTGCCGTTTAATTAACAGAAACTTCAACGAGAATTACGCTAGATAGCGCATCCGAGCGTTAGCGGAAATCCTCAAGTGGGATTCGTTTTTTCAAGCGCGTTTCTCTCCGCGTTTGATATACGGCAGAATTGATAAACATCAAGATTATTATATACACGTTCGAAATCCGCGTTGCTGATACAAATTTGATTACCGTAGCGGATCTACACAAAAATATTTTCTCGCTCTTTCATCCCAGAGTGCAAACATTTAATTTAATTATACGTGCATTAGCGACTATCATGATCTCCTCCCCCTCCTCGCACGTGGAAGCTTTCCGATATACATCCTTATTTAGATCCCCCGGTTTTCTTAGCGCAGCTTCTAGTATCTTACCACCTACCTTTACCTCACAGGTATTACGTATCCCATATCAGCATTTTTTCCCCTCCATCTTCTTTTTTCTTATATTCCTCGCGTTCCTTCATATTATATTTCCACGTTTCTAGCTGTACTTTGCGACTCGCGTACCTGCGAGTCTTTTCGCTTTTCACTTTGGCTGACGTCTACAGCCAGTAAAATAACTTCCTTCCTTCCTACCTCTTCATTGTCGCCGGCGATATCGATATCTCTCGTGCGTTAATGGTGCAATTCTGCTTTCAGCCAACGGCGGCCAACGCATTAGCGATTTTTTTTTTTTTTTTTTTACCCCGCCGGTATACTAAATCGACGGGGATACGCGCATCCATCCTCTTAACACGGACACATAGAAATTTATATGTCTGCCGTTTAATCCGAACATTTGATGGATGTCCGCTTTACAACCGCCTCTTTCGCCCGGCGTTTATCGGCGGACGCCAGAAACGTGCACGCGAACGACTTCATTAACTGCGCGCGTACACGCGACGCTTGATTAAACCTTTGGAGACTCTGGAAGGTGCTCGGAAAGAATTGCCAAGAAGGGAATTTGCGTTGATGCTTGGAGCTTGCCATTATATTATTATACAGAAGCAATTTCTCCCCCATTAATCAGCTGAAAAGAGAAAAAAAAATGGACGTAACTCCAATTACTATCCGCCCTTTTACGCTTTGTACACTCCGAAAGTAGTGAGACAAATAAAGATATTTACCTTAGAAGTTGCTAAGATAAAAAAATACGAGGAAAGTTAGTTTGTATGAAAAGTTTAACGCGTATTATGATAGAAAAATATTTTGTATATAATTAATAATTTCATGTATGATAGATCGTACCGTTATCCCTTGTCACGGGGCTCTCGAGAGATTCATAACGTTAAAACTGCTCCTCCATCGACTTCCGTATGCTACTTTTGAGAGGTGTTTATATTTCCGGAAGATGGATGCGGCTCATCAACTTCCGGAATGTTCTGATCTCAAAGTATAAAGGAACGGCGGATGTCTATGGGCGAAGGGGCCGCCGCGCGCTGAAAGGAGGACAAGGGACGATTGGCTTTCGAAGATAGATTCCAATACCATGAATGGACTTTTAAGCAGGCATGCATCAGTTCTCTTCTCCACTTTCTCGCCGGCTTTTCTACGACATCACTCTTACCGTCTCCCTTCTCGCGCTCTCCGTTGTCCCTCCGTCGACCATGGCTCGGCTCTGATGTTTTCCCTTTCGACCCTCAATCCGTATTTTCTCGTGCTCCCTACCGCGTGGAAAACTGTCGCCTGAAACTATGTGCAATCCTTAACATACTAATCAATCGCAGGACGGATAAAAATAAATTCCGTTTCTCCAGTGAGATTTGACATTTCGCATCGTTGTCATTGTATAAAAATTTGTGAAAATTAAAAAATATCAGAAGTAATAAAGATAAAATAATATGTTTGAGAAGAATTACATAAACAATTAAATATCAATAAAAAGGTAAAAATTAAAAATTTGATCAACGAATTGGTGTAGAACCACTACGTTGTTGTAAGTCTGCTAAAAATAATGGCACGTGATTGATGATATAATTACTTGAATTTATTTTATAGATATTTAGCACCTAAGATCCTGCTTCTATGATTCTTTCAGTTGTTTATTAATATACTACTCGACTTGTATTAATGCATTGTTTAGAAATTAAAAATTAAATTTATATGTATGAATTCTTTTATTCAAATGATTTTGATTTTTATTATGTAACAATTATCAATAAAGAGTACAATATCCTTGACGACAATTTTTCTCAGAAATTTTATACGAATTGGAATACTTTTCAGAAATACTGAAAAAAATCTACATCTTTCCTTAGAATATTTTATGTGAATTCTGAAATATTTTAGGATTTCTAAGAGTTCTTATTTTGAAAAAAATATCTTAAACCTTTTGAGATTTTATAAAGTTTCATCAGAAATTATGAAATGAGAAAACTTAGAAATATTAGAATATTTCAGAATTCAGATATATGAAGAATAGATGTAAATTTTTTTGGCATTTCTAAGAAGCGTTTCGTACAAAATATTTGAAAAATTTTTTAAAAAGTTTACAAAATTGTATCGAAATTCTGAAAAATTCTAAAATTTACATAAAAATTTTGAAGAATTGTATAAAAGAATTCCGAGGGAAATTTTTACCAGGAATACTTTTAGTTTTGAAAGATGCATTTCCCTTTACGATTACGGTAATAAGCGAAGAGGAAACAATAACCATATTTGTCGATGCGCCGAACTTATTCCGAGATGGTGCGGGTCTTGCGATTCCCACGGCCGCATCGATTTCTCGCCTGCGCCCGCACGCGCCGCGCTAAGCTCACGCTCCCTGATAGATAATTCTGTTTATTGCAGATAAACTCGGCGTGGTCACTCGGCCCAGAGCTCTGCGACATGTGGACCAGCAGCGACGTTCTGTGTTGCACAGCCTCGATATTGCATCTGGTGGCCATCGCGGTCGACAGATATTGGGCAGTCACCGATATCAATTATATACAGGTTAATTAACGCCGTTGCGGTTATCGAGAGGAAGTCGGAAATTGTCCTGGGATACGATGCCAACGATACGGTCTTCGTTATCCGCTACCGTTTGACAGTTGCTATTCGCCACGCCGTCCGCGAGATGGAGAGGAAGAGCCGCGCGGGAGTTGGCGCGATTGAGAGAACGCAGCGCGGATGGAACTGCATATCGTCTCGCGGATTCTCCTGAATAGCCGAAAGATCAGCGTGATACGCGCGGAAATACTATTTTATGAATTCGAGAATAACATGAATAATATAATAGGGAATGGGATCTGAATGGGATCTGGTGGTCCGCAAAATCCTGCGCGTTGCAGCTTTGCACAATGTATCTGGGAAATTTCTCCCAACCCTCGTCAATTCTTCCTTTCTTACAGATTTATATGCATTTTATATCTACTCATGGCGATTTCGTCTTCTCTTTTTTTTTTTTCCAATGCCTTCTTGTATCTTTTAAACAGGCTTTTAGTTTGAAACTTGAACGAACGTCGTTCGTTTTATTATCGCTACTATCTATCGAAAGTGTAATAAAAGTCTAATTCTTTTCCGGTATTCGAGGCTGCGAGACAGATATTTCAATATATACTCGGATCTATCTACATTTACGGAATAAGGTCGTGAAATCGCTCATAAATTTTCGTGGAAGATTGGACGAAGGCAAATTCCGCTCTCCTGTGCGCGCGCGTACGGTGATGTAACGAGAATTACAGGGAACACTGCTCATGAAGTATGAAAAAACGATAAGATCGTAAAACGAAACGAGCAGGACCTCCCGTTTATAAATATGTTTGACCGATATGAGACGAGTATGTTACGTAATATTCTCGGCGTGTATCCCATGGACGGCTTAGAGAGTTAGTTTGGAATTAACTGAGGACTCGATAAGCTGCGTAGCGATCAGCCAGCCCGGTCGAATTTAACTTGCATTTCCCAAACTGATGTAAAGAGGCGTAATATCGGTCCCTTAACTGGCAAGTCGATTACCTTACAAATAATGAAACGAACGAGGAATTGGCTTGAGTCATGGTATCCACACCAGGAAGATACGCAGATAAAGCAGGCGCCGCAATTTTCTCGAACGAGCGGAATAATATGCTCCCCCCTCTCTCTCTCTCTCTCTCTCTCT